AATACAGAACAGAGTAACAATGCACTGCTTTTTATTTTTCACTCCATTTTTTAATATGATCTTCCATTCAGAGCAAGAACAATACAGTGGTGTCATATGTCTACATTTAACTCACCAGAATTCAACTAGTCACATTTCAAAAAAAGAGAAAGTGAGGGAGGGAGAGAGAAAGAGAGAGAACAGGAAAGACAGGAATAGCATTTTAAATAGCATGGGTGGGGCAGGACTTGTGGCACAGTGGGTCAAATCACTGTTTATAATGCCAGCATTCCATAGTGGAGCTCCTGAGATCAAGTTCTTCCTCTGCCATTGCTTGTAAGCCAGCTTACCGAGACATGTAGGTCCCTTCTCTTACTTCTTCTGTGCTCTGCTGCTCCCCTCCCGTCTTTTTTTTTTTTTTTTTTTTGGACAGGCAGAGTTAGACAGTGAGAGAGTGAGAGAGTGAGACAGAGAGACAGAGAGACAGAGAGACAGGTCTTCCTTCCATTCGTTCACCCCCTCAAGTGGCTGCTATGGCCGGCGCACTACGCCGATCTGAAGCCAGAAGCCAGGTGCTTCCTCCTGGTCTCCCATGCAGGTGCAGGGCCCAAGGACTTGGGCCATCCTTCACTGCCTTCCAGGGCCACAGCAGAGAGCTGGGCTGGAAGAGGAGCAACCAGGACAGAACCAGTGCCCAACCAGTACTAGAACCCGGGGTGCCAGCACCGCAGGTGGAGGATTAGCCAAGTGAGCCGTGGCACCAGCCTCTTCCTGTATTGAAACATGTATGGTGTATGGACCTGTGGCAATCATCCTGTATATAGGAGGCAGCGTATCAAAGAAGCAGCCAAAGAAACAAAATTGCCAGCTCTGACATCTAGCAGCTGACCAAAAACTACTCAGGAAGTGGGACCTCTTACAGCCAGATGCCATCTAGTTAGCAGCAGATGTCTATTCCCAGGCTATTTCATGTGAAAAAAATGAACCTATGTGTTGAAGCCATTGTCATTGCGGGATTTTGCTTTTGTTACTTGCAACCAATTGTTTTACTAAACAAAGAATTTCTTGAATGCATCCCAAGTGATGATGGGGAAGGGGCCAGAAGCAAGGGCAAGGTCATAAGAGAAGTCAGCATGGATTTTCTTGCACCTGTCCCCAAGTAGATCGTTAATATGCACAAAATGTTGATTGTCTTCCTTTCATATATCCTTGCCCACCTATTCATTCACATTATCTCTAGGTAGTTGCTTCCAGAATCATGTAGTGTAATGAGGGTGTATTAATCAGCTTGTTGTTAGTATAACAAAATAATTGAGGCAGCTAACTTACAAAGAGAAAAGGTTTATTTAGCTGACAGTTTGGGAGGTCCAAGTCCAGGATCGGGCAGCCTCATTGATTTGGTCTCTCTGATAAGGTCAGTAGATGGCAGTGGTGAAACACAAGTTGAGGAAGAGAGGTTGGACTTGAACTCAGGCATTTATAAAAACCGTTTCATGAACTACCTTCTGAGCTCAGGTAAGGACCTCCAGTGACCAAAAGACCTCACAGTAGACCCCACCTCCTAAATGTTTCACCACCCTCCTGGGGTCCAAGGCTTTAACATATGGGGTCAAATAGCATCTAAAATGGGCCTTAGGGAGAGGTTCAACATTCAAATAATATCTAAAATGTAGCAAAGGAAAACAGACACAAATAACTAAATGGAAGGTAGAAAATGACAATAGCCAAGAAAGAGATTATATAAAACTAACCCTTTGGAAACACGATGGTTTATTTAAACTGGGAAGTAGTAAAATGGTTTCCTCAGGATGTGAGCCAAATTTCCCCCTTACTACCAACTTCCCTTCCCTCCTAGGACAGGGGCTGAGGGGAATTTAGATCTTAAAAAAAGCACTGTCATAAAACCTGAGAACCAATGGAGTTGAACCCAATATTCAAGGTGTTTAGCTTTTGTTAAGAACATAAAAAGACCTCTTGTGCTGTTGCTGCTGTTTGTCTGGAAATCCTAGAACATATCCAATGCCAAGAAGGAAATTAAAGGGATTAGGAAAGGTGGGAAGAGAGGGGAAAGTGGATTCGATTTCTCCATATCCCATCTTCTCCAGCATCCTAAGCTTAGCTCAATGACAAGAGGATAAAAGTAAAAGGCCCCATTATGGACTGAGTTGTATCCTCCACTTCCCAAATCCATATGTTGATGTCTAACCCCCAATGTGACTGTATTTGTAGGAGGGGCCTCGGAGGAGTTCATTAAGATTACATGAGGCCCTGAACCAATAGGATTGGTGTTGATGTGAGAAGAATCCACAGGCATGCAGAGGAAAGGCCATGTGAGGACACAGAGAGATGACCAGCTTCTGCAAGACAGGAAGAGAGGTTTCACCAGAAAGCAACCATGCTGGCACCTTGACCCTGCATTTCTGACCTCTCTGGTCAGGGGTCTCTGGCATGTCAGTCCAAGTAGAACACGCAGGTGCCAAGTGGAGGCCAACCTCAGGATGTGTGTGTGTGTGAACTGCAGCCCAGACTGTCTCCTCCTGCTGCGTGATAGACCTCACTCACATACTGATGTTCATTCACTCAATAAATGTGTGTGCTTGATTATTTTTTGGACTGAGTCCTTGATGGAGTTAGAAATTAAGTGTACTCTGGGCCAGCACTGTGGCGCAGCGGGTTAAAACCATGGCCTAAAGCACTGGCATCCCATATGGGTGCCAGTTCTAGTACCGGCTGCTCCTCTTCCGATCAGCTCTCTGCTGTGGCCTGGGAAAGCAGTAGAAGATGGCCCAAGTCCTTGGGCCCCTGTACCCACGTGGGAGACCTGGAAGAGGCTCCTGGCTCCTGGCTTCGGGTTGGTGCAGCTCCAGCCGTTTTGGCCAATTGGGGAATGAACCATTGGATGGAAGACCTCTCTCTCTCTCTCTCTCTCTCTCTCTCTCTGCCTCTCCCTCTCTCTCTCTCTAATTCTGACTTCCAAATAAATAAATAAATCTTTTTTTAAAAAAAGAAAAGAAAAGGAAGAAATTAAGTGTACTCACAACTTAGGAGAGTAAGAGGCCTTCTCCCTAGGGAAAAAAAAAAGCAGCTTTGATCTCCACAGCAGAAGACAGAAAAGCGTTTTTCTAAGACCCAGAACCTGGAGAAGGAAGGGCAGGTTTCTTCACTTGTCCATTAGGATTTCTATTGTGCACCTGTGCTGTGTCAGGTGCTGTGTGGAGAAATGAGGAGTGAAGTGTATAAAGCAGACCTGGCCTCTGCCCTGGAGACATGTTGGGAAATTGCTTAGAATCCAAAGAATGTAGACAGAGTCGCAGGAAAGAAAGCTTTAGTCGGTAGTGATAACTAGAAAGAAAACTCAAACAAGATGAGGATGATAAGGGGAGAGACAGAAGTCGTCACACTGTTTTACACATGGCAGCCGAAAAGACCTCATTATGAGGAGATACCTAATGAGAAAAACAGAGCGCAAGGAAGGCATGAACCATGGGACCATCTAGGAAAGACTGCCCCCAGCAGAGAGGAAGCGGAGGCTTGCTAACGCAGCTGCAGGCGGCTAGCAGGCTGGGAGCACCTGTGTGAGGAGACAGGTGCAAAATGTGGTGTGTGTGGAAGCCCAGGTGAGGAAAGAAGGTTGCTAAGTGGAAACAGCAGAGCTGATGCTGACAGTGAGGGGATCACATGAGCTTTAAAGACTCTAGAGACACAGTTGTCAGAGTCAGTGATGAGCAGGCTGGACTTCTGCCTCTCTGCCTTCATGTGTGAATAGCAGATGGTTTTTTTTTTTTTTTCCTCTCTCTCTCTCTCTCTCTCATATTCCCATCATGCACCTGACACCATGATACTCCCAACATTTCCAAAAAGGGACACGAATCAAGCCCCTTATGAATATTCAATTAAACCCAACCCCAAACACTACCTACCCCCATGCCTCCAGATCATATAAATGGATAGACCCAAACCTTGTTGAGTACAGGGTTCTCTTGAGCATGCCACACTCCATTTTGCGTGTGTTTTCTCTCTTTGCATGTGTACAAATCTTGTATCTGCTGATCTGTACCTATATCTCATCCCTGAATTCCTTGTACCAAAGATAAGCATTTGGACCCAGCCACCCACAATATACATATAGACACTATTCATCACTCAACAGATACAAATCTTGAACAAAAGTGATAGCCTTCTTTCCAGAACACATCAAAACATAAAATAAAAGCATTGGTTGGGTTATGAAGACAATTCTAATAAAGTGGGTTGATAGGGCCACTCTCCTAGATATCAGAATCTTCCCTGGGCCAGAATCCAGCTGTCATGCAACATTTATCCTAGCACTGTACTAACTAGTACCATAAGTAGAATTGTTCTATATGATTGAACAAACAACAACCAAAGAAGGCTAACATCAACCTCTAGTAACCAAAAGAACCTCTAACACCCTTGCCCTCCTGGTATCTACTTTTTCAAGCCAGGAGACTGAGGAAATACTCTTGTGTAACCAAGAAATCGCAGACCTGGGATATTTAATTCACTTGGTTTGTTTCTATTTTGTTCGTACATGTGGTTCTTAACACTCTTGCCACAAAATCGTCTGAAGTCCTTATTAAATAAAATAAAAATTTCTAGGCCCCACCCCAGATCATTTGAATCAGAATAACTGGGAGAGGCCCAGGAATCTGCATTTTTTGCTTCTACCTAATGCTATTGCTATATTCCTGATCTTTTGAGATCCACTGCTCTAAAACAGAAGTTCACAAAGTTTCTTTTATTTCACTTGTAAATGTCTCTACAAAGGGTTCTTAAGAAAGCTCTTGGGTAAACTTCCTTTGCAAAAACTCTGCAGTGCCAGTCACAAGCTGACTTTGTTCACAGAAAGGCACTGAGAGACAGAGCCCTCGTGATGGGAACATCCTATCAACAGATCCATTCATTCAAATAATTCCATGTACAGAGACACCGGATGGCTTCTGAGGAAGTGCCTTCCTGTCTGGGGATCTGAAGGAGAGACTTTCTGGAATGTTCCCTACCTGTGAAGAGGGCATGGTAGTGGAGGCCCCTTTCTTTGTCCTGATGGGAGCAGACATCAAACAAGTAGGCTTTGATGGGCCCATCAATGAAGTCAGCAGCAAAATCAAAGAGAACCACACCTATCATGGTGATGGTTATGGCCCAAACCAGCTTCCTTCTTGGGTTAGCAACCAAAGCTAAAAGAGAAATAAACATCAGTCTCCAAAATTCTGCTTTAGAATGATCCACACTTTTTGTTTCCATCTAAACTTCCAGTCATCAACTCATCTCTCTTTGCTTTCATTTTGCTTTGTTTTCCAAATAAAAATAGCTTATTATTATTCAAAATTACTAGATTTTCCAATTTTAAAAGTTATAGAAGTGAATGTCCGGAAAAGACAAATATATATAGAGAGAATAGATTAGTGGTTTCCTATGGCTGGTTCATTGGAGGTAAAAGGGAGTGACTGGTAAGGGTTAATGGATTTTTTTAGACAGATGAAAATTTTCCAGAAGTAGATGGTAGTGATGTTGTACAACCTTGTGAATATACTAAAAATCACTGAATTGTACACTTTTAAATGGTGAATTTTCTGGTAATGATATCTCTTTATCTCTTTAAATAACAATTTATGCATACTTATTATAAACAATACCAGCCGGCGCCACGGCTCACTAGTCTAATCCTCCGCCTGCAGCGCTGGCACCCAGGTTCTAGCCCTAATCAGGGCTCCAGATTCTGTCCCGGTTGCCCCTCTTCCAGTCCAGCTCTCTGCTGTGGCCCAGGAGTGCAGTGGAGGATGGCCCTAGTGCTTGGGCCCTGCACCCTCATGGGAGACCAGGAGGAAGCACCTGGCTCCTGGCTTCGATCGGTGCAGTGTGCCAGCCGTGGTAGCTATTTGGGGTGTGAACCAACAGAAGGAAGACCTTTCTCTCTGTCTCCCTGTCTCTCTCACTGTCTAACTCTGCCTGTCAAAAAATAAAAATAAAAAAAATAAACAATACCAATGATAAAGAAAAGGCTCAGAGAAATGCTTCCTATCCCAGCCTCAGCAATGGTCACCCTCTCAGAATTTTATTTATGCACCTCAACACACAGATGCAGGTGTACCACTGTGCTCAAATGCAATACTTTTCCAACTTGAGTGTGCTTAACTATCACTTGAACACCATGTAAAACAGATTGCTGGACCCCTTTTTAAAGGGTTCTCAGGGGAGCCTGACAATTTGCAGCTCTAATAGCCCCACCTGATGCTGACGTTGTTGGCAATCTGAGGGCCACACGTTTCAGTAGCACTGGAGAATGAGATCACGGAGTACGTGCATGCTCATCTAGAACCAGCTTTCTTACCTTTTTATTTTGGTTAATGAAGCCACCTTATAATTTTTAACAGCTAAATAGCATTCATTCTATGGATATACTGCAACTCATTCAGTCTTTTTCACTATTGAAGATACACTGACGATTCCTTTATTTTTTAATTTAAGAATAACATGTAAGGTATGTCCATGTTTTAACTTTCACAGTATAAAAATAAGTGAAGGTGTGAGCATTTGGCCTAGCAGTTAAGATGCCCATGACTAACACTGGAGAGCCTGGATTTGATACCTGGCTCTGGCTCCTGACTCCAGTTTCCTGCTAATGTAGTAGACCCGGGAGGCAGAAGATAATGGTTCAAATAGTTAGGTCCTTGTCGCCTAAGTGAGAGACCTGGATTGAGTTTCCATCTCCTGCTTCAGCCGGGCCCAGACCCAGCCATAGCAAGACGTCTGGGGGAGAAAATCAATGAATGGGAGTTTCTCGTTTTCAAAAAAAAAAAAGAAAGAAAAAGTAAAAAAGTCTACTCTTCATCTCTCACCTCCAGTCCTTTGCCTCTCCCTAGAACCAACAATGTTTATCAGTTTATTGTTCATTCTTCCAGAAATATCCTGCATTTATTCATTTATGCCTTTTTTAAAACATATACAAACAGCACCTGATTAGCCTGCTTCATAATCACATATTCTGCTAGCTTGAGAGTTAACAGTCTAAAATGTGTGCTATTTTTTAACAATTCTTTTTCTCAATGCTACTTTTATGTTCCGCTGCCAACCACTGTTTAATTGAAGGTTGATTAATGACTAGAAAAAGGACTTACCACCAGGTTTGTTTTTGTCAAGGTTTACAATGCAAAAACGTCCCCTTGAGCTGACAGGCTGATGTTGTACACACATTAAAACGTTCTATACAAAGCTATGAGCCAAATAAATGCTCATTTGTACACAAAGGTGACTTATTACAAGTATTTATGGAGCCATTTGGTAGTTGACCAATTGAATAAAGTATTAAGTAGGGTGTAATAGGCTCAAAGAGAAATTCAACTGATAAATACATAAAAATATTTAATTTGATAAAATCGGTAAATATTTAATCTTATTTTAAAATCCTCACAATGATAAAAGTCAATGCATGCTGATGCTTCTAAAAATAAAGGCTCCCAACCACAGACCTTGAAGTTGATTGTGAACATTGACTCTAACCAATTTCTACTAAGTGACAAAGAAATTCACAATCTCCTCCTAAAGAGGGGCACAGGAGGACATTGATCCCTGCCTGCCCGCCTCGCGCAGTCCACATACCTGATATGACAGTGTCCCCGTTGAGGTACAGGGCCATGCCTAACAGCATCATGATGCTCAGGGCCAGGATGTAGGGTCTCCGGCGGCCCCAGCTGGACCGGCAGTGGTCACTTGCTGATCCGACCACTGGCTGCAGCAGGAATCCGAGGATGGGGCTGAGGAGCCAGACAGTACTGTACAGACTCTTGGGCAGACCCACACTGAGCAGGACTGGGGTCACATAAGCCGCCTCCACCGCATAGCAAAACTCCCGGCCGAACATAGCCATGCTGTGCATGATGAGTCTGCCCGTGGGTCTCTTCGGAGGCTCCACAAAGCCAAAGGGCCGATCCTCAGCTAGGGACTGATAGGTGTGGGTGCCAGTCTGCCCACTGCTGCTGCCCATGACCGCTAGGTGAGGAACCTTCCTGGGTGCCCACCACCTCCTGCGTGGTCCCCAGCTCTGGCTACAAACGGCTTGACGAGAAGCCGGCTGAGCAGCCAACAGAGATGGTCAGGCTGGGGGAGGGGCTCAAATTCTTTCATGCCTCTAAGATCACAAGTTATGATGAGAGGGAGGGGGGTGTTGGGGTAGAAAGCATGACGGAGATTAGCTGCTGTGATCCCTCTGGCTCCTTAGAACATTTGAATGTTTCTCAAAGTATCTTCCTTTGCCCTGGTTCTCTCTCTCTCTCTCCTCTTGCTCTCTCTCTTGCTCTCTCGCTCTGTCTCTGTCTCTCATGGCTTTGAGATAATAAAGCCTTAGCCAGTACTGTGCGTATATCAAAATAGAAATGAGTCAATACCCTTTTATAAATTTCTTTTTGTGGCTTTAGATATTCTTTTTCAGACTATAATCTTTCTATGCATATAGCTCAGGAGTCAAAAACTACACTTAGGGGCAAGTGTTGTGGTACGGTAAGTTAATCAGCCACTGGGGATGCCTGCATCCCATTTCAACATGCCTGGGTTCAAATCCTATGTTTGCTTCCAATCCAGCTTCCTGCTAATGCACCTGGGAGAAAGCAGATGATGGCTCAAGTACTTGGGTCCCTACCACCCATATAGATGCAGATGGAGTTCAGGCTCCTGGCTTCAGCCTGCCCCAGAACTGGCTGCTACAGATATCTGCAGAATGAATCAGAGGGTGGAAGTTCTCTCTGATTGTCTTTCTGTGTGTGTTTGTGTGTGTGTGTGTATCTTGCTCTTGTTTTCAAGTAATTCAAATCTTTAAAAGCAAAACAAAAAATAAACCAGACTTAAAATGGTGCAAAGGCTCATCCTTCCTCTAATCGTTAACTATCTCCTGGCACTCTAATATTTTCTGATTGCACATCATGCATGTTATAATGAGACAGGTCCATGTCTGTTCTGTGTCCTGTGTTGCTTAGTCTGATCTCATCAAGGGCAGAGATCAGGTCTGTTTTGCTCATTACTGTATCTCTAATATGACTCCTGGCACTCAAGTTAATAAATATTTGCTGAAGGAGTGATTAAGTGAATCAAGCATACGCATAGCATTTTGTAGTGCCAGTCCACCGTGTGTTTGCTCAGAGCTATTCTTTCCCAAGCTCTTTATCTTATTAGACAACTCTCATGTTCCCTCCCTCTCTAGGTTCTAGGTAGATTTTGCCAATGGGAGGTACTGGTAGGAAAAGCAGGGCTAGGAGAAGGGAATAAGTCAATGCATCACCACCCCTCAGCTCTCAGACCTGTCTCCTTCCTGAGCTGACGCTGGCAGTGGTCCCATCTCCATTATAGTCCCAGCTTCCACCGAATGTGGCTCCAGCGTGAGATGGACATGAAACTTTGACAGAATGCTATGGTTTGGACATTAGTTTGGGCGTCCCACAAAGGCCTGTTTGTCAAAGGCTTGGTCTCCAAAGTCTTAGGTTAATGGCACCGAGTATAAACTTAATCCAATTATGATGCTTAAAGGTTTGTCCTCTGGGAGGTAACTGGATTGCATTGAGTCCATAGGGTGAAGCCTACATGATCAAATCATGGTGGCTTTATGAAGAAAGACATAAACAGATGTACATGTTTCCTCTTGCCTTACAATGCTCTAAGCTGCCCTGGGACTCTGCCAGCAGGAATGCCATCATTAGACACTGAACCAATGAGGCCACCCAAACTTGGTTGTGATCCCCTAAACCCAAGAGCCAAAATAAATCTTCTTTTATAAGAGGCTTGTCTTAGATGGCATTTTCTTATAGTAATGAAAAGCTGATAACATACAGTGTAGATAAGTTTATATTTTAGTTCATGGAAAAAAAAACACCACTGAAGAATTTTGCAGGACTAATTTGGTGTCAAAGAGTAACATGGTAGGGAAAAGATTAAATCAGTCAATGCATGCAGGGAAACTAAACAGCCTCCAAAGCAAAGCTAATAGAGGCCTGAATGAAAACAGCAACTGAGTTGGGCAGGGGAGATAGATAGGAGAGTTATTAAGGGGGAACTGACAGCACTTCACTACTGGGATTATTGATTGATTTGATGAAGAGGGAGAGAAAGGGAGAGAAAGAGTGTGTGTGTTCGCATCTGCCAGTTCACTCCCCAAATTCCCACAATGGCTAGGGCTGTGTTAGGTCATAGCCAGGAGCCAAGAACTCAATCCAGTTCTCCTACATGGGTGGCAAGAACTTAATTACTTGAGCCATCACACTGCCTCCCAGTCTCTGTATTAGGAGGAAGTCAGAGTCAGGAGCCAGAGCCAGGTATCAAACTCCAGTATTCCAATATAGGAATGTGGGCATCTTTGCCACGAAGCTAAACACTTAACACTCACCGCTGAGATTTATTCACTAATTAAATATTTATGGAATCGGTTCATGTCCTAGCTGCTCAACTTCCAATTCAGCTCCCTATGAATGGCTTGGGGAAAGCAGCGGAAGATATCCCAATTGTTTGGACCCCTATCACCCAGGTAGGAGACCTGGATGAAGCTCCTGGGTTCTGGTTTTAGTCTGGCCCAGAGCTGGCCATTGTAGCCATCTGGGGAATGGGGAATGAACCAGTGGATGGAAGATCTCCCTCTCTTCCTCTGCCTCTCTCTGTCTCTGTAACTCTTTCAAATAAATAAATCGTCAAGAAGCATCTACTAAGCTTCTGCCATGGGCTTGTCATTATTCTAGAAACTGGAGATTTAACAGTGAATAAAATGTACAAAATCTCTCCCAAAGCTTCCATTACAGTGTGTGTTATGTTGGCTGTTGTGAAATTACGAGGGTCAGACTTCTCTAAGAATGTTCACTACTCTTTGTAAAACAGTAGAGCTAAAAATATTTCAGTGAATCACAAAATGTTATTTAAATAGTATTAAAAGGCCCTCTTGAAAGATTCTCACAAACATAAAGGTACAAGTGGAAGTGAGCATTTGGCCTAGGGGTTAAGATGCAAGATAGGATGTCCAGGTCTCACATCAAAGTACTGCATTCAACCCTGCCTCCAGCTCCTAATGCCAGCTTCCTGCTCATGCAAACCTCAGGAAGCAGTGGTAATGAATTAAGTAACCAGGTCACCACCAACTTGTGGGGAGTAAATCAGTGAATGGGAGCTCTCTCTGCCTCTTAAATAATATTAAAGTGTTTTAAGGTACAAGTACACTTTAGGGGAAAAAGGCTTCATTTAAAAAAATTACATTTATTCATTTAAAATATATTATAGGTATAGTAGCATTTTAATATCACCAAAATATACTATTAATTAAATTGGAAGGCAGAAAAGCTGTCACAATTCATTATAAGTACATAAAAAGCTGTTAAACATTTTCATGATGATCATCTTGAGAACTCCATCATGACTGTGTAATCAGTCTTTGCTTCTTGATTAGAATAACTGGATCGCTGCATTCCTGTTCTTCCATGTTTCCATGCATACAATTTTACAGATTGTTCTATACTATAAATTCAAAATCCAAATGCATCTGAGCTATGGGCCCTAAAGTTAAAGATTAGCTGTGGGTTCATGACTTCTAATGATTTTATCTAATTTAAGCTGATTGATCTCTTCGTGGTTGAATCCGAATTCTTTAAGGATCTCTTCAGTGTGTTCTCCCGCAAAAGCATCTCTTTTAACAGAAGGGAGGGCTGGGGTGCTGGACAGCAGTGGTGCAGGGCGGGGACTCACATTCTGCCCCTCATCCATGATGAATGAGCCCCGTTCCCTGTTATGTTCGTGAGCGACAGCCTCTTCAAAGGTCAGCACTGGGGTCACGCAAGCATCTGTGCCATCAAAGATCTTACACCACTCTGCCTTTGTCTTCTTTGCAAATACATCTGCAAATTTCTTCTTCATTTCTGGCCAATCAGCCATGCTCATCTGATTAGGGAGTTCATCAGACTTCAGTCCAAGTCCTGGGGGGAAAATGCAATTTCTGAAATTACTGTGCTTTGAATAGAGTGATTAGAATCAATGGAAATGAATTTTGAGCCCACCATGCTGTTCCAAATAAGATGTTCCATAAGAACTTCTCAAGTGAGTCAAGAGAAGAAACTTAAATTCAGTTTGAAGTTGAAGCTAAAGGCTGGAGAAGGGAGAGGTGGTAGGGGAGGCAGGACTCACAACAGAGAGTCATGCTAAGGTTTTGATATGGACATTTCATCAAAGGAGTCCACTGTCAATGACCCAGTTTCCAGAGTTCAACTTCTTCCCTCTGAGTAGGTTTTGAAAAAAAAAATTTCCTCAGAATGTTATTATCTGTTATATTGAATTGAAACAACCTCATGTTTTATATAATGTGCCCAAGCCCTTAAAAACATTAAAATGTAAACAGTTTCACACATGACTATCTGAGTTTTCAAGGAAGAAGCCTAAAGACAAATGATTAAATTCAGGATTGCAGTTTCATTTAAAAATTCATTTCTTTTTATTTGGTTAAAATAAAGGAAGTGGAAAAGGCTTTGTGCTAGGAACAAAGGACTTGTAAGGTAGGCACAGACTCCTACACAAAGATGCCAGCAAGTTCTTAGCCAGCCAATCAACAGCAGGGTGTGCAGATGGATCTCTCGGGCATGAAAGGGCTTTGAAGGGCCCATCACCGCCACAGCACAGAGGAGATGAAAGCCTGCGCCTGGGGACTTGGCAGGAAGGACGGCTTCTCCAGCCCCAAGTCCCATCTGGACTTTCCTGACTGCATGAGCCTGTGCTGCAGACACACCTGAGCTCCATGCTGGCTAACTTACACCCAAAGGCCCCTTCCTGGGCCAAGTATCAACGTCCTTTTTCTTCTCTCACAGATGAGTGTGCTGTAATGTGGATGGTGAAAGGCCTTTTCCTTATGCATTCCTTTATCATCCTTTCCTCCCCTGTCAGTTAAGGATCCTTCGTAGACTTTGAAGTAAGAGAGCAGGTTAAGGCCACCATAAAGGACTGTGGATGCAGAGAGAACTACAAAATAATTAGGGTGTTAAAGAGTTTGACTCTACAGGAAAAAACTCAGGAGAAGGTGATCAGAAGTTGAGGACTGGGGCAATCAATTTGCTAGAAAGATGTCTGATCTCATTTTTAGCATTTCCAGAATGACTCACTCATTGAAGTGGAATGCAGATGTTACAATGAGCGCTACACACAAACTTATACCAAGCCATACCAAGGACGGGAGTTTATAGTTCAGCAAAGGACCAGTAAGGACCTTCAGAAAACGTTCCCACATAAAAGCAATGAGAACACCAGCAAAAACTGTCAGAATCAACTTTTCACAGCTCTGGAAAGTAAAAACTTGCACCAATTCAGGAAGTGTTTATACAGGAAAAAAGAGCTGGATCTCAGTAAAAATCAGCAAGCTTTGTGGTGTTACAACGTGTGCTAACATCGGTTCTCTCCCCAGCTCGGCAGTAGCACTGAAGGCCAACAGCCTGTCAACAAAGAAGGCTATAAGACAAGCAGGCCAACAGGAAGTGAGGGGAGCGAAACGAGTTTATAGCTCCCCAAAAGACCCTCCCCTCTGAGACAACTGTCATCACCTGGCCTGTCTGGCATGTCTTTGTTTGATCTGACTCAGAGTTTGCCTTGCCCTATCCCTGGGACACATGCAAAACTCGGTGGCAATGGTTCAGCGTCATAGCTGTCTAAGATAGGAAAACATGTTGGGCTAACAAGAAGCCAAATAAATAAAAACTTGGGGGAAAAAAAAAACCTAGAGAATAGGACGTACACAGAGGGCTTGAAAAGTCCTAACATTTTCCTGAAAATTGAGACAGTCACGCACATCCACACACAGGTACAGGGCTGCATACGTGTCCAGAGGAGATCTGAGAAGACCCTAACCTCTCACCTCTGGCAGACCTTGAAGGTCTGCGAAAGCAAAGAAGTAAAGGTACAGAGTATCTCAGAAAAGGATGGGAGATGTACTGATTCAAGACACTGAAGGACATCTCTGCCCAGTCATTAGCTGACCACTAAGTTAACTGAGCAGATTTCAGGGGCTACTCATGCAAAAGAATACAGATTTAGTTTAAGAAAGTGATTTAAAAAAAAAAAAAGTAACAGCAACATGAACAAATCCAGGACTTTG